CCGGCTCTGCCAGCCCGCAGCTACCGGCCCCGCTCCGCGTCCCACACCCCCTGGGCTCGGCACGGGCGGGACAGCGTGGCCCCACCGCCGAGGACACCAGTCACACCAGTCCCCGACGGGCTCCGGTCTGGCTGCTGCGAGGTTCGCTCTGGCGCCCCGCGAGAGCCACCCTCAGGGGTACGGGGCAGGTGGCTACCAACAGCATTAACAGAGCAAGTTCGACCTCCAACTGAGCCTCTACAAACACGGACTTACAGAAACCGAAATATGGGTTTATCTATCTGTGCAACTAGACAGATACACATCTACCCACACACAAATGTACGATAAATTATATATACACGTATGCACACACACGTACGTGCACACACACGGATGCACACGTATATGTACATATAGGTACTCTACATCAGCAGGCAAAATTAGTGAAACACCTCAATGGTCTGAGACTACTTTGGAGCAGATCTGACACTGCATGCTGAGAAAGCTCATGGCACCCGTTGTCACCGGGACCTGCAGCGCGCACACACATCCCTCTCCAGCAAGGCCAGTCACACCCCAGTTACTGTCCCCCTCCAGCTGCTGCAGGGCATCTCCAGACTTGCAGTTGCTGCTGCCTGGGCAGCTGCAGCTTGGTTAACCTGGTACTGGGCAGCCTTGATTTTGGCTTGCAGGTGTGCAGGAGGGTGAAAATATTTGCACTTTTCCCGTGAGCATCTCCCTTTGATGTAATCCATGCAGACAGTGACCGTGTTGTCGTTGGTGTCGATCATGGCGCTGTCGGCGGGGTGTGCGAACCGGCAGTCGTTCTCTCCCCTATTGCAGTTGCCACGCTGGTACTCTCGACATACCTGTGACACCGGGAAAAGACAACAGATTAATTCAGGTGACGGATGTCTGTGAGAGCACCATGAGGATGGGTGCCTGCCCCAGGAGGAGCAGAGGGGAGGGGGACGGTGGGCTCAGCTCCCTGAGAGCACAGACCTGGCTTTTCCAAAATGTCAAAGGGCATCAAAACCCACTAGGATCGACAGCCAAGCACGCAGCAGTTTTATTTTGGCTCCTGCTTAGCTGGTCTCCATGGGACATGCAGTGCTGCACCGTCCCCCCACAACCCAGACGTTCAACCACAAGAGGGCAAGCCAAAACCCACTGTGGCTGTGCCTGCCTCTCCCAAGCAGTCACTGGTCCCGCACTGCAGCCAAAGCAAGCTGAAGGGATCAGAAACTGGACATAGAAATCTGCTTGGCTGGAGGGGAGCCCCTTGCACCATCCCTGCTGCTGGGATGGGGGCTGCAGCCCAGCCCCATGCCCACACAGAATCCCCAAACCTCTGTCCCCCACCAGCGGTGCAGACACAACTTCACCACCAGTGCGACAAACACCAGCTCCCTCTCACACACCTTGCAGACCCTGTACTTAAAAAAATTGACGTGTGCTCTCCTCACGGTCAGCTCTTCACAAACCGCAAACAAAAATGCATTTGTCATTTTAGTTTTCCAAAGGCTATAGGAAACAGAAAGGGACAAAAGCAAGCAAGTTTGTGTAAAAATAAAACCACTTTAGTAGATGGAATTTCCTTTTAAAGGTGGGTGCCCATGAGCTTGGATCATCAGTATTTCCTCAAGGATCTTGGCTCCGATTCCTGCAGCAAACCAAATTTGGTTGTTATTTGGTTCCCATCCACGCTAACACTCTGGCTGCTTTTTAACCCCTGCGCCGCTCCAAGCTGCCCAGCAAAAACACTGAGGTAGCGCTGCAACATCACTGATCTTCGTAATTCACGTCACTTGTCCTAACTTTGGGCTGGGTTTATTTTCATGGCCTCGCTGAGATGAAAGGATGCTGCAAAGGTCCCAGACGGCTCACCCAAAAACGGGCGGTTTGGCTGGAGGGACGTGGGCAGCAGAGCTGAGGTCCCTGCCTGTCCATGGGCAAGTCCCACCTCCTGCCTCCTTCTCTGCATTGAAGAGAGTTTATCAAAATGGGCTATCAAATGTACCAAAATGGGCATATCAAATTTATCAAAGTGGACACATCCTGAACATCTAAAGAAAAGGCACCACTAGGTCAGGTTTCCTGATTACTCAAGACGTGAAAATCCCCAAGAACTTCTAAGCTGCTTCTTTCTGGCAAAAACTGGTATATATGAATCAAGCAGGAAACAGCAGCTTGGCGTGGTCATTCATGACTCTTGGATACTCCTAATAGAAAATGATGGCATTCAAATGGAAACACATGCGTTTTAAATAAAACCGTTAAGCAACTCCTTTCTCTCTCACTTCCCTGTCCTTCTCGCTTCCCTTCTTCACTGGAAGAGCTACAACTCTGTTCAAGAGATTTCTGGCAGGGGAGGGTGTGAGGAAAGCTGCAGGAAAAGCCCCAACCCATGAAATTTCCACCCCGAGATCCAGGTTCCTCGCGGGAGTGGCTGAAGGCACCGGACACCCAAACACCTGCATGCTGTCTGTACCGAAGACATGGGCAAGTACAACTGAAGTCAATGCTACTGCTGGCAAGTCACTGCCTTTACTCACTAATATCTGTATTAATTCAGGAGACCCAGCACACCGCCTCACAGATGTGTGTTATCTGCCTGCTTCCCTTAAAAACACAGGTATGGGTACTGAGAGCCTTTCCTTGTGGAACGGTCTGGGTCAGTATCCCGGGACACACGCACGAACTTAATTAACGCCAGAGTACAGCACTCTTGGAAATAAGTGTTTAAAATTCTAAGCAGAAGAAATCATATTCCCAGATTAGACGGTCACATCACAGCAGGTGTTTCTCTCAAGGACAGCCCATTCCAAGGCAGAGCCCTGCAGTGCTCCCTGATCACGGTGTAACAATGACGACGCCAACAGCAACACCCATGCTAAAGAGCAGGCGCACACGTGCTGGCTTCTCTGAGGTACCAACCAGGCCATGCACAATCTTTCAGAGCAGTTCTGTGCTTCTGTAATCTGTAAAGTACACTAAAATGTTTTGCTGTTCATAAAATTGATGCGCTTGTTTGGTATCTGTACACTAAATTTCGATACTCCAGACTAAATGCCCAAAGAGCTGGAAAGCACCGGCAGATCGCATTCTCACCTGTGTGTCTCACTATTTTAACTGCTGAAGGGAAGAAAGAGAGAGGAAAAGACACCCCCTCCCCACAACAGATACCGGTTTTGTAAGGCAGCAGCACGGTGTGGAGCCACAGTCTGTGGGTCAACCTGGGCATGCTCTCGACCCCACTCAAAATAAAACACAAAACTTAAAAATAGCTAAAAGGGTAGAAGGAGCTGGATTTCACTAATCTCCTCAGTGCAATGGCCAGAGCAGAGCCCCTCAGGGACGTTCGTGGTTCCCTGGCCACTGGCAGAGCCGGTGCTTGGGGGCCTGGGGTATGTCCTGCTCCTCTTACAAACTCACAGCCCCAGCGCCCCTGACCAGCCTCGTGGCCCCTCTACAGGTGCAAGCACCATCAGACGTTGCAGCCGTGTGACCCAAAGGGCTTCCCGCCATCAGCGTCCTCCTCTCTACTCATTTCCAAATTCAGCGTGATTTATTTATCAATTTATCTAATTGTCTTTTGGTTTTAATCCACGCCTGGCAGGTATCCACCATGAAACAGTGTTTTCAAAGGAAAAGCATCCCTCGGCAATCCCAAGCAGCCACTGTGTGCCAGCTCTTGGCTCGGTGCGGTCGCCTCTCCTGTAACCTGACCGTGCTTTGGGGAATGCTTTCCTCGGAGAAAACATCTCTAAAAAGGGAAATGATGCGGCCCTGCAGAAGGGGAACCTGCGGTGACGTGCGCTCTGAGAATAGTGACAGCGGCAGTGGGACACGCAGCTGCCAGATGACCTCCACGCTCCCCGCTCACCGCCTTCTGAGCAATGGTTTGTCAGTAAGAGGTGAAACTGGGAAAAGGAAATTAATTCTCCTTGTAAGGAGAGCTAATCTCTGTTAATGCAGAGGCAGGGGCAGAGAGAAAATCCTCGCAATTACAACTGGCTGCATTTTAAAACAGAGATCCTTCTTAAATCTCCTAGGGACCATCTCAAAGAGTGGAACAAGCCTTCCACTACCCACGTCCCCTAACACACCGCGTGTCTGACAGACACATGGGGTGGCAGTGATTGCCTCTCCCATTGCCACCTTTGAACCACCGGAGCAAAGCGGGGCTGCCGTGCACCCACAGGCTGCGTTCGCAGGCGCGTGGCAGCAGGCAGCACATTACCACTCACTGCCCACGCTGCTACAGCGCCGATAAGGTGCCAAAAAAACTGTCAGGCCTTTCTGATAAGAAAGGCTCAGGCCAAGGGAGATCACCAGCTGGGAGCAGGCAGCTCCTCAGGGTTGTCGCAGGGATGATAAGGCGGGCGCGGGAGGCTGTGGGGGAGCGCTGGCACCATCTGTGCTGAGCCAAAATATGTGAGCAGCTGAACGCCAGTTTGCTCAGGTGGTGCGAGCTCTGCCCTCACACCGGGCTCTGCTGCTCGGTACCATGTTAACACCTCCCAGCACACACCAATACAGTTTGGAGGTGTCTTGCTGCTAAAAAGGCTCAGTATTTCCATTTCTTCCTGCAGTGTGGGGTCAGAAGCAGAACTGTGCGCAGTAACCTAGTGTATGATCCCTGTCCTTACCTGGCACCAAGACAGGACATCACCAGCTGAAGTGAAACCTGCAGGCTTTTCTTTCACATGAAAAATATTTTATATCGAAGAGACATGATATAACTCCTGAGAGTATTGGCTCCTACCTCCAGCCTGTCTGTCCTCATCTCGGCTCTGGGGCGGCGGCCGCAGCAGCGGCAGGCACCGGGACGCCGGGGTTGCCCGTCACCAGCATGGGGGCGGTGGGCAGGATCTCCGCTGGCACCAGCCCTGGTGAGACGGGGCCCAGGTAGGGGTTGAAGGTGGCCGAGGCATTGGTGGCTAAGCTGGGTGCGACGGAAAACATCGGCTGCGGCCAGAGAAAATAAGAAGAAAGGTAAATATTTAAGCAGCAGCGGCAGGCACCGGGACGCCGGGGTTGCCCGTCACCAGCATGGGGGCGGTGGGCAGGATCTCCGCTGGCACCAGCCCTGGTGAGACGGGGCCCAGGTAGGGGTTGAAGGTGGCCGAGGCATTGGTGGCTAAGCTGGGTGCGACGGAAAACATCGGCTGCGGCCAGAGAAAATAAGAAGAAAGGTAAATATTTAAATTTACACTTGCCATGCCATACACACCATGACAGATTCT